CAAATGCCCCTACCCACTGAGCCATCTTATCAACCCTATTTATTAGTTTTACAAGACAGGCTGTCACTAGATATCCTCAAGTCATAGTGATCCTCCTGCCTCAGCCTCCAAGTGCTGGGATTACATGTACAGGTTACCACACCCAGCAGGATAGCATTTTCTCTGGAATAATGTTTTGTGTACCGACCATTCTCTGCTATCTGGGATGTGAACCCAAGACCTGGGCTTGCAATGCAATTCTGTTTATTTAACGGAAATTCACTGAGCATGTGCTTTGTACCTGTTGCTGTTTGAAGACTGTGGATCAAGGGTGATGGGACAAATGGGCTCAGTCTTGATCTTGGTGTAGCTAGCACATGGACTTCCGTTGCAGTGTGATGGGGATGTGTCATGATGGCACCGAGGCATGGGCCGGGCAAGGTACAGGGAACAATGGGAAAGATACTTTCCCAGTTTGGGGATTAGGAGGAAGGGTCTTGCATGTAGAGGAAACAGTGTCCTCCAGGAGTCTGAGGCAAGAAGCATGGAAGGAAGGGAAGTTGTCCCATTTTGCTGGCATATGGAATGAATGGCTTGGGGAGGTGGTGGGTAATGAAACCAGAAGTTGCTAAACCATTCCCAGCCCATTCCAATAGCACTGTGCCTGCCCTGAAGAGAAAAAAGCAGCCTGCTCCATAGCCTGAGGGAGAACGGTGATGAGGGAAAGCAAGAGCTGTGGACACAGAACAAGAGTCACCCTCCTGTGGGGATCCCTGAACACATTCTCAGAAAGCATAACAAGTAGGGGCTCGGTGGGCACCGCTCCTGCAACTGAGGCCCCCGCTGTGATTTTGGGGAGTGTTAGCAGTGAGAAGGTGCCTCCAAGATCTTCCAAGCTGGAGCTGGGTAGGTCTTTGTCTTGTACTAGGGAACAAAGCATGACCTCCAGGAAGTAGAGAGGCCCAGCTCGGAGCACCCAGCAGCTGGGAGTGTGCATGGGCCCTATGCAGGGACCCCGTGGAGCCTCTCCTTTGCATCCCGTGATCACACAGCCTTGCCCTCTCCAGGCTACTACACACAGATCTCCACACTGGCTGATGCCCAGGAGAACGTGATGGAGTATCTACATGTGCTCAGCCGCCCCATGGTCATCAACCACGACCATGACATCATCTGGACAGAGGCATATATGGACAGCAGGGTGAGCATGATGACAGCTCCAGGTGGGCGAGGAGGCCCAGAGTTAAGGGGAAGAGCAAGAGGTCAGGAGAGGTCAATAGCCTGTCTCCACAGGAGGAGTCGTGAAGGGTGGAGAAAGCTGTTCATGCCCTCCTATCCCTAGCAACCCTTATCTCACCACCAGCTTTGTGCCCGACTGCCCCCAGAGGCCTAAACCCTGCCCAACAGACACCCCACCCTGTGCTCCTTTCCACTCTTCAATAAGGGGGCTCCTGTGCCCCCTTATTGTCCTCTCCTACCTGCCAAGGGAAGAAAATGTTCGCACCAATGATTCACAACACTGTAGCTTCATCCTGGTGCCCCCTGAATTGCACAGTCTGGGAGAAGCAATGTCTTACACAGAGGAATACGTATCAAAGACGGGAGGTCACAGAAGATGTGTGGCTGAGGGAGACCTTCCTGCCTGCCTCTTCCCCGAATCACATCCTGTATGGAGCCTCCTGCCTTGGTGACAATACACAGACTAGGATTAGGGGCTGACAACAGTGGCTTAGATGGGACAAAGGGGGAAGGTTAGACGTTTAGTGGTGGGCATCTCAGAGAGGACGAGGCTTCTGGACCCAGGGACCCAGGCTCCTGCCTGCAGCCGTTCCTACTCCCCAGGCTGAGCCCCCTCCTCCTGGGTCTAGGGGCTGGGGGTACAAGGTCACGCTTAGCCATTTAAAGAGGACTGCTCAGGGGTCCCCCGGCTCCTGCACTGGCTTATTTCTTCTGACCAGAACTCAATCCTGTAATGATTTCCAAGAGGCAGAGTTGGCTGAGAAGATACACTTTCAGCTTGTTCTCCTGTTCTCTCCTGGGGCCAGGGCACACTTACTCTAGTAAGTGTGATATAAACTCACTGTGTCTGAGGACAGGGGCACACTTACTCTAGTAAGTGTGATATAAACTCACTGTGTCTGAGGACAAGGACACACTTACTCTAGCAAGTGTGATATAAACTCACTGTGTCTGAGGACAGGACACACTTACTCTAGTAAGTGTAATATGAACATACTGTGTCTGAGGACAGGGCACACTTACGTTTGTGGGTATCAGTAGATATAAACTATCTTGCCAAGCTGGGGACAAAAGCCTCAGGAGTCCCTTCTGAAGTCCCTTCGTCGTCAGAGGAGCACCTGGCCAGCTGGAGTGGGCTCTACCCTGAGGCATTGTCCCGGAGATGCCATCTGTCCCACACTGATGGCCACTCCTTGAGCTGAGGCCACAGGGAGAAGCCTTGTCCACCTAGGTAGGTGGCCCTCTATTGTCCAGGCGGTCAGTGGTCACAGGCCATCTGCCCTGGATGGAGAAGTGGGGGAGGGCCAAAAGGAAGACAAGGAGAGAGAGGCTAAGGCCTCCTCTGCAATGTCTTGACTTCCCACATTGCTGCTTACACTCATCCCTTCCGGCTTGTTCCTCTCGCATCCGTCCATGCCCTCCTCCCCCAGCCCAGCATGTGCTCCCCATGCCTCTCACACATGTGAGTATCAAGCGTGCTGAGGACCTGGAAGGAAGAAGTCTGAGGACTTGAAACGCAGTGAAAGGAAAGGAGCCGTGGGTAGTGGTGGCCACACCTAGGTAGCAGCTGGGCGTGAGTCTCACGGAGAGTTGGAAAAAGAGAGGAGAGCGGCAGAGACAAAGCCTTGCTTTGATACGTCACTGTGCAAAGGATTTTGCACACCTGGGCTCACTCCTCCACTGATCTCGGCCCTTTCGTCCCTGGCAGCTCTTCACCTCAGAGGCACAGAGCCTGATGCTCCTCACCACAGTAGCCATGCCAGTCTTCAGCAAAAAGAACGAGACGGTGAGTGACAGCCCCCCACGCCTCAGCACATAGCTTAGATCCCGGGCCTCTGAGCTTCACAGTCAGCTGCAAGGGGGGTTGCAGATGGCCAAGTCCAGTACTGGGCCAGCCATACAAGAACCTCCTGGTTAACTGTGGGGCTGAGAGTCCATGCTTTCCCAAAGCTCTCAAGCCTCAGTGGGAGTGTTAGGGGGGTGCTGCCCCCCTGCTCTGTTCTTAAGGCAGAAGGCTATGGAGTTTTCTGCTAGCCTTCCAGGTTAACCACACATAACTAGTCAAAGCAGGTAGACTCTGGCTTATACATGAAGGCCTCTAGTGAGGGGATTTCCAGAGCTTTCCATAGTCTGTTTGGTCAGAAACTGCTTCCTTACAGGTCACTTGTGCTATAGAGGCTACATAAATTATGGTCCTTATATTTCATCCTCTGGTGTGAATATTAATATTTCACTTAGCTTTATATTTCATTTAAATGTTACTACTGAAATATTAATACAGGACATTAATCTTCCTAACAGCTGAGCTTGCCCCTGGGGCCTCCTCTGACAGTCTACATTTTTATTTGTGGAGTTCAGCCTACAATCTAACTGCAAAGAAGATCAGTAAATGTTTCCTCTTCCAGGCTCCAGGGAGGCCTGGAGTCTCATCTGAGAAGTCCAGTTTCCCTGACTCTTACATTTTTCCTTCTAGCGATCCCACGGCATTCTCCTGGGTGTAGTGGGCTCCGACGTGACCCTAAGAGAGCTCATGAAGCTGGCACCCCGATATAAGGTGTGTAGCACGAATCTTAACAGGTCTTATTAATAAAATCAAACCTGGAGCCAGCTATTGGGGTGAATGCTGGAAGATCAGAGAAACAGAACAAGCCACAGCTTCCTCACCTCACCAATTCCTCAGCTGATCCTGTTTCCTCAGACTGGAAGCCTCTGAGTCCTCATCCAGAATGAATCTCAGCTGAACTGTGCTGCTAAAAGCCTAAAAGCTTAACCAGCTCTAGTTCCTGGTTTTCACACCTTATATACCTTTCTGCCATCACTTCCTGGAATTAAAGGATCACTTCCTGGGATTAAAGGCGTGAGTCACCATGCCTAGTTGTTTCCAGTGTGGCTTTAAACTCACAGAGATCCGGATGGATCTCTGCCTTCCAAGTGATAGGATTAAAGGCATGTGTGCCACCATTTTCTGGCCTCTATGTCTATCTAGTGGCTGTTCTGTTTTCTGACCCCAAGTAAGTTTATTAGGGTGCACAATATTTTGGGGAACACAGTATCACCACAAAGGTGAGCCTGAGTGGGATCCCTGGGGGGTGTATGGGGGGGTCTGAGCCTTAGCTTTCCATTGTTGTGACACAATATCTGAGAAAATCCGCTTAAAGAGAGGAGAGATTTACCTGAGTTCACCATTTCTGTGGCTTCAGTACACGGCTGCTTGACCAGAGACCAGCAGGGGGAAGCGTGACCCTGACTGGTATGATTTGTGTTTAAAACTGCTAGGGGCTGCTGTCTTCAGTCATTCCCTCCCCTACCTAGCCATCCAACACATCTAATGCCCTCAACCCTTGACTTTGGCAGCTTGGGGTACATGGATATGCCTTTTTGAACACTAACAACGGCTACATCCTCTCTCATCCTGACCTCCGACCTTTGGTAGGTACAGATCTTTGCCTTGAGATTCTAACAATATGAGATTTAGGTATAGTTCACAAAAACAGTTAAAATTCATTGGCTAGTACAAGAGAAAAAAATGGACATCATTATACCTGTTTTCAAACTGTTTATTATCTAGCAGGATGTACATGGCAAAAATACACATGAAACCACACCAGAGAGCAGGTAATGCAGGCTGGGGGTGTGAGAATGGAGCTCTGCAGGACAGTCCACTTCCCGTTACTATAATAAACATCTGAGACCCCCAGCTTGTAAAGAAAGAACTATGTTATAAAGTCCACAGCTGGTTGAGCCTATTTTATGCTGTGGTGGGGTGCATGCAGCATAACATGATGGGAGCATGTGACAGAGAGAACCTGTTGGCCCCAGACAGTAAAATGAGAAAGAGACTCCAGTCCCATGACCCTCTTTAAGGACATTAAACCTCTCACTGGGCTTCATCTCCTAACACTCCACCATTTTCCAACCGTGCCATGTGAACCCAGCCTTCTACATAGAGGCCTTGCTGTTTAAGAGCCAAACCATGAGGGAGAGATGGCTCAGCAGTTCAGAGCACCCGCATTCAGTTCCCAGAACCCTTTTCAGCCAGCTCATAACCCCCTTTAACTCCAGTCCCAAGGGATCCAATACCTCTGGCCGTCATGGGCACCTGTGTTCACAGGTACCATACCCACCCACACATAAATATGCACATGTACACTTAATTAGAAATACAGTAAATCCTTTTTAAAAGCCTAATCACTGCAGACATTTATCACAGACCCTCCCTGTCCCAGTAACTCCATCCCTCCTACAACCTGACAGATGGACCGGCAGAACCCAGAGGGCCATGCAGGAAATATGAACAATGAGTTCACAACAAAAATAGCAAGGAGGCCCTCTCACAAGGGCCGTGAACGGTCCTCTGAGCTTGCCTCTGATGCTGCCCAGGGCCCCTGTCCCCTTCTGACTCTGTCCAGGAGCTGTGGGTATTCTCATATGAGTTCCTCTGAGCACCGGGTATCTGAAATCCCTGCCTCCAGAGCACTGGCTCTGTCCACAGTGGCAATGGCCACACTGCTGGTGTGATGGCCGGAGGGGTCAGGAGAGCTAAAGTCCTGGGAGCATCTTGAACCCACTCCTCTTCAGTCTTCTCAGGAACCCCAAGAGAGTCTTGGGTAGCAGAGGAGTTTACAAGGGGGCTTCTCTGCCCCAGGAGTCATTTGGGGAGACCAGCTGAACCAAGGCGCATGCCAATTAACTCAAGCAAATACGGAATATCCCCTGAGACATTTGACCGAGCCACTTAAGGCAAATGGTAGAACTCAGAACGGAGACACACTGTTGAATTCCCTGTCTTCCCAATTCAGATTTGACAGGGCACTTATGAGAACCCATAAAGGACAGTCTTATATTAACAGGTTCTTAAGAGACCAGTGAGTCACAGTGAGGGAACATGGAGGTTGATCCCAGAGTTGACATACAGAATGAAGGGGCATGGACCAGAAAACCACCTGTCAGCATCCATCTAGGCAACTCACATGAATAATGCTCTCACCTGTCAAATCATGGTGTGGACCTACTATGTGCCTGATATTACTGTGCTGGTGGGAGTGCTGTAAACATAAGGACATATCTAATTAAGAGAAGAAAATGTATGGAGGCACATGGCAGGCAACTGCTTACCAAAGGACACAGTAAGGGTCGTGCCATGTACTGTGTAAGGAAAGCAATATCGGGAAAGCAAAAGGCACAATTTCAGAAATCAAAATAATAGAGGATATTCTAGCAATAGAATTTTAAGAAAAGGTCAAGAGGCATGCTGGGGCCCTTCTACATCAATGGCCCTAACCAAATGACATTATACATTTATTCTGAGAGGCTAAGGATTGACTACAATCTGTCAGGTGTTGTCAGGACTTAGGAAATGGCACTGGAATGTTGCCAGAGGAACAGCTCAGGCATAGGAGGGTAGGGCATCCCTGTCTGATGAGTGTGGACATCAGGAAGGCCGTGGGTAAGGAAGGAGGCAAGGCAAATAGGGATGATGTTGCGACAGTCATACTACAATCAGGACAGAAAAAACCGCAACGTGAATAAATGAAACAACTCCAGAAGCAAGATATGCAATGACAGTGACTTCAGCCACCCAGACATCTACTGGGGAGCCATTTCCAGGAGTAGAGGGTGCTGTTTTTAATGTACCCTGATGATAAACTCTCCCCTTTACTGACGGCTTTACTAAACTAAACCAAGGAAGTACCACAGGCATAATTAGAGATGAATGATTATATCTGTCGGGGGGGGGGGTAAGAAAGCAAGAAAATAAGAGAGTGTGAAAGAATAATACCACTCGGAGAACTGGCTCATGGATCTACGTCAAATTTTGGAGCCAGGTGATTATTAAGCACTGTTGATCTGCCCTTGGATCTGACCCAATTAAAAAAAAATCTATCAAGATGAAATGCTTCTGCAGATGCCTTAAAATCTGGCAGAGAACATGATTGCTCAGAAAGTGTTCTAAAATGATCATCTGAGATTAACAAGATGACATGGATGAGAAATGGGTGGGCGCTCTGCAAACTGAGCGCCCACGTGTGGGAGTACACCACACGAGAACACCGAGGGGATTTGCCTGGCTAATGGCGCCATCTGGGCTGCCAAGCTGGCCTGGCTGTCCAAGCAGCCAACAGAAACAGTCAGAGCTGTACTGTACTTCAGTCCACAAAACACACCTCTCACCTCCTGGCCAGGCTCCATCTGCAATATTGATTTCCCTGGCAGCTCAATTTTGGGGGTGACATTGACAGAACTGAGCATCTTCAGAGAGCTATTTTCAGACTGGAAATGTTTAGCTGGAGACAGTCACGTCTGAGGAGTGACAAGGCTGAGCATCTTCATCAGGAGGAACACATTCGGGGTGGTTCCAGAAGAAAAACTGACAACAATAAGTAAAAGTTAGGAGGGAGAACTTTCTAGTAACAAGAACTACGACAAGCTGTCTGACGAACTCGGAAGATCCCTGGCATGAGAAGTATGCAGCCCTCAGGAGGCTGGGAGCCCATCTGTGGCACACATCAGCCAGGGCAGCTTTGCACTGAGTAAAAGTTTGGCCTGGGTCATCCTGGGCGATCATGGGATGCTTTAACTTTATGAGGGTATTTGAAAGATTTTAAAGTGGAGGGAACAGGGAGGGTGCTAACTCCACTTTTTCCATCCCATCTGGCCCGCTTCAGTACAGAGAAGGCAAGAAGCTGAGACCCAAACCCAACTACAACAGTGTGGACCTCTCGGAAGTGGAGTGGGAGGACCAAGCTGAAACCGTGAGTGGGGAAGCGAGGGGGTGAGAAGCTACTCACCCAGTTAGCCCCGCAGCCAGCCAGCCCTGGGTGCACGGGATGCTGGACAGCTCTGCAGCAGAGCCATTGGGCTCCCTGCCTGCGACTTTTTCAGCAGCTGTGGACCTTTGAGTCACAGGGGTGACTGGGGCAGACTGAAATTGTGCTTGCATGCCCCAGCATGGTTTCAGTGTTGTGCTTAGCTTCCGGTCTCCATATCACATTCTAGGGGAAATCATGTCTCAGCAACACAACACTGTACCCCAAGAGCATCCATCTCCTAAGAACGCTACCTCAGTGAAAGCCCAGAACTGTGAGCCAGTGGTACCCAGGTCCAACTTCCTTGCTAGAATTCTGCTCAGAGGAAAATGGAAGAGCCAGTGTCCTAGGGATCCTAAGACACAGTCAAAGCCCCCAAACCCCCAGGTGAACAGGCACCAACTCCCTTTTCTTTCCTCTTAAAGCTGAGAACTGCCATGATCAACGGGGAAACAGGTTCTCACTCCATGGATGTGAAGGTGCCACTGGACAAAGGGGTAAGGAGCTAGAGACAGTGCCCACAAGGTCCCAGCAGGTGGTACTGAGCCTGGGCTTGGATACTGCTGTGGCCTTGGGAACAAGAACGTGAGGAGAGAGGGAAGCTGAGGGGAGGAGCATGTAGGAACTGTGCTGTTGATCTCATTGATGCTCAGTTCATTATTCTGTGTTTGCTTGTTTCTGTTTTCACCTTTTGGTTTTTCAAGACAGGGTTTCTCTCTGTAGCTCTGGCTGTCCTGGAACTCACTCTGTAGACCAGGCTGGCCTCCAACTCACAAAGTCCCTTCTTTAGAGACCACAGCACATGCAGGTTGCCCAAGTCACTCGCAGTCCTTCTTCCCTCCCTCTGCGGCCTGGTATTTGGCCCTTTGGTTGTTTTTGATAGGAAGGGAGAAAGTGACAGTTAATTTTGCACACTACCAGCAGCTCTGTGAAAACATGTCACGTGGAAAAAGGTTGGAAATCGTCACTACTTTGTATAGCTGATTTTTATCCAGACACGGAAAATGGAAACAAATACCCTTACTACAGAGGATCAAAACCAGAAACCCCTCCTGTCTGTACAGACCTGTGTGTCATTCGAAAAGACCATTTCATCTTCTTACTTAAAAGATTCGGATGAGTCCTCTGAATTCACATCATCCCTTGACATATTAACAAATGTCACCTCCTTCTGTATAACCACCCCCACCTCCTTCATTACCCACCTGCCCCCGCTCAAAGAACATAGCATCTGTCTGCAGCAACTCAGACCTGAGTCCTTCCCTGGGCACAGGTCTCCACAGAGGCCAGACTGCAAAGCACTGGCCAGTGTCCTTTCTAGACAGGGAATTGGTCTCCACATCACATTCTGGAGGAAATTATGTCTCAACAACACAACACTATCCCAGGGCATCTCCTCAGAACGCTGTGGGACTTTTGCTTCTTCAGACACACTGGGAATGTCAGTAATACCAAAAGAGTCAGGGTTCCTTCCCTGTGCCTTCAACATGCTCTATGACTTCTTCCAAGTTACAGCATGCCAGGACATTGAACCTAGCATGAAAAACCTAATGTGCATAGGGCCACTTAACAGCCAGAACAGCTGTGCTATGCCCAACACACTGGCACCCCCAGTGGGTGAATGTGCACTTGCCCTCTTCTCCCAGGGCCCGGGGTTATCTCAAGGCATCTCCATCCTTCTCAAAGCCACCAGGCAGAACCCTAACCAGAAACAACAGTCTGAGCTTCTGTGGAAAGTTCTTCCTGCCCAGGAAATATGCTCATTACTGCCAATAAACCATTTCAGTGTACCAAGACTTCCTGAAACATGCACACATCAGAGAACCGGGATGGCGGTGGTGATGGTAACTGTGATATCGGCGTCTTAGGACAGGCAGGGCTGCCCTGTCTTCCTACTGCTAACACCACCGATGATGGCAGTCCAGATTTGTCAGAAGTCAGAGCGAGCACAGTAGAGATGCCCATTTATTCAGCAACCCCATGGAGGCAGGTTTCTTCTTATCGACATCTTACAGATGGAGATATCAGAGAAGCAGAAAGTAGCCTAGGATCATGAAAAATCACAAATTCTAGACATCGGGGCTTTGAGCCCTGTGTGCTTGGAGTGGCAGTCTCAAAGACTTCCCCAAGTGTCTGGAAAAACATTTATTTTCTTTATGAAATTAGATTATGGAGTAGCAGGTTTCCTTATGACATTTCCTACATAGTTTTAATCAGTCCTTCCCCCTCCCCCTCCCCCATCTTCCTGTCCCACAACCATGGTTCCCTTCCACTTTTATATTACATTTGTTCTATTACCCTCTCTCCTTCAAAGTCTCCTTTGCCCCTTGCTAGCCTCTGTCCACACTCGCTCCCACATAGATACATACATATATATGATATGCATATGTGTATTATATGATTATATATACATATACATCCTATACATACACACATACATATACATATATGTAATTAGAAACTAGACCCACATGTGAGAGAAAACACTGTGTTTTCTTTCTGGGCCTGGGCTACCTCACTCAGTGTAATATTTTCCAGTTCCATCCTGCTCTTTTCTGGCTATTCCATCCTCCCCCGAGACTCCTCCCTATCTGCTTCATATCACACACGCAACCCATGATCCTCTTTGCCTCCCTCCTCGATCATGTGGCCCATCCCGTCATGACTCCCTTTCCAGTTTCATAAGCTTTGCACATGGACACATTTATACAGACACCCATATGTCATTTTAAATCTAGATCCCACAGGAATGAAAACACACAGTGTTGGTTTGTCTTGCTTAGGCTGACTTATTTCACTTAACATGTGATCTCCAGTTCCATTCATTTCCCTGCAAATGTCATGATTTCACTTTTCTTTAAGGAGTTTCAAAATTCGTGTGTGTGTGTGTGTGTGTGTGTGTGTGTGTGTGTGTGTGTGTGTGTGTGTATGGTGTGCATGGCGGGGGTGTGCGTGTGTTTACCACCTGTTCTTAAGTCATTCATCTGTTGATAGAGATCTAGGCTGGTCCATTTCTTAGCTACTGTGAACAGAACAGCGATCAATAAAGAAGGACAGGTGTCCTTGTGGTGTGTTGACTCAGATGCCTCAGGCACACACCCAAGGGTGGTATGGCTGGGTCATATGGAGGTCCTATGTTTAGTGTTTTGAGAAACTGCCCTACCAATCTCTATAGTGACTATACAAGTTTACACTCCCACTAGCAGTGTATAACAATCCAGTGTTTGGGTTTTGTGGTTCTTTTTTCTTGGGGAGGTGTTGTTCTTCACATGTCTAGAAATTAATTCCCTGACTAACTTGTAGCTGGCAAAGATTTGTACCCATTCTGTAGACATGTAGACGGTCTCTTTCACTGGAGACACCTTCCTTTGCTGTATATGTCCTTTAAACCGTGTGATCCCATTTGTCAGTTTTTAGGATACTTTTCTATGCCACTGGAGTCCTTTTCAGAAATTCCTTCCTACGTCTGTACCCTGAAGTGTCCTCTAGCAGTTTCTAAGTTTTAGATCTTACATTAAGGGTCTTGATTTGTTTTGAACTGACTTTTGGGCAGGGTGAGCTACACAGACCTAATTCCGTTAACTTACATATAGAAAACCAGTCCCCAGCACCCTTCGCTGAAGCCTGTCTTCTCTCCAATGTGTGCTTTGATGCCTTTGTCAGAAATCGGGCAGCTGTCTGGAGTGAGCTCCAGACTCTCTCTTCTGTCCGCTGGCCTGCACGTCTGAGTTTGGGCCACTGCCATGCTGCTCTTGTTACCATAACTGTAATACAAGGTGAGATCAGAGATTGTGGTGCCTCCGGGATTATTCTTTCTGCCAACAATTGTTTGGGATAATCAAGTCTCTATCAATGTGGTGGTTTGAATAGGCATGGCCCCCACAGACTCTTGTGTTTGAATGCTTGGCTCATAGGGAGTGGCACTATTAGGAGGTGTGGCCTTGTTGGAGGAAGTGTGTCTCTTTCCCCCCTCAGATAATCTCTCCTGGAAATACCCTCACACACACACACACACACACACACACACACACACACACACACACACACCTGGAGGTACATCTCTTAGTTGACGCCAGATCTTATCAAGTTGACAACCACATTTGACCATCACAGGGGTCTTGTGCATTTCCATGTACATTGTAGGATTGCTTTTCCAGTTCTTTGAACAATGTAACTGTTATTTTTGAAGATTGATTGATTGATTGATTGATTGATTGATGATTGATTGATTAATTGATTGATTTGTATGTGTGGATGCCTGTGTGTGTTTGTGTGCATCATGTGTGTGCAGTGCCCACAGGGGCCAGAAGAGGGTATTAGATCCTCTGGAACTTTAGTCACAGGTAGTTATGAACCACCATGTGTAGTCTGTGAACCACACTCAGGTCTTCTGCAAGAGCAGCAAGCACTTTTAACCCCTGAACTACCATTGGTGTTTTAATGGTCATTGCACTGGATCTGTAAATTGCTTTTGCAAATAGTCATTTCACAATCTCAATTTGCCAATCCACAACTGTGGGAAAGTCTTCCATCTTCTAGCAATTTCTTCCTCCAGTGTCTTTCACCTCCTTGGTTAGGTTTATTCCTAAAGTTTTTAAGCTGTTGTGAATGGGTTTTCCTCATGATTTCTCTCACAATTAGACCACTATTGGTATGTGGCAAAGCCACTGACTTTTGTCACTTGAATTTGTGGCCTGCAGCTTTGATGAATGTGTTTATAGTTATCAGAGGTTTCTAGTGGCCTTCAGGGTCAGTTAGGGTCATGTCAACTACAAATTGGGATAACATGACTTTTCCCTTTTATTTATTTTTCTTGTTTTATTTCTCTAGATAAGACTTCAAGAACTATAAGAGTGGATAGTGAGACACTCTTGTCTCATTCTAGATTTTAGAGGAAAAATATTCCACTCTTCCCCATTTAAACATTGTAGACATTTTTTTTTTTATTTTTTCGAGACAGGGTTTCTCTGTGTAGTTTTGGTGCCTGTCCTGGATCTCACTCTGTAGACCAGGCTGGCCTCGAACTCACAGAGATCCACCTGCCTCTGCCTCCCGAGTGCTGGGATTAAAGGCGTGTGCCACCAACGCTGGCTGTAGACAAATTTCTAAATGGTCTTGGTAAATTAAAAAAAAAAAACATGGAGCCAAATACAGGGGTGAAAGCCTTAGAGAAAGATCAGAGGAATGGGACAAGCCACGAGCTAACCTCACCTCACCAACTCCGCAACTTCCAAAGAGAGCTTCTTCCTGTATACTCATGCTGATCTGCCTTTTCTGTTCTGTTCTCTCATTGGCTCTCTTAGCCCAGCTACATCACTTCCTCTTCCTACACAGCTCTGTCACTTCCTGTCTGTCTGTATAGACCTCCAGACCTCTATGGTTAACTAGTGTTGGAATTAAGGCGTATGCTGCCACAAAACATGTTTGCTATGGTTCACTATATAAAGCCTCTATTATGTTATGTTTCTTTTATTCCTAGTTTCTTCAGGGTTTTTAT